TAACATCAAGAAGCGGACACGGAATCTTTCTCGTGATATATATCGAAAACGCTTTACGAAGTGATGCGTTTTTTTCTTCCGACCAACCTTTCCAAGTTTTTTTTGACTAAATAAGAACACTAAATAATAAGAAACAACAAAATTCAAATACGAAAGATTTGTTTATAATTTTGAAACGAATTTTTCTTTTTAAAGAGAAAAGCAAAGTTAATTTAATTTCAAAAAATAACCTCTTTGTGCATGTTTAGTCTTTTATTTTGTATTCTTTTACGTTCGACATTAATTCATTTTCAATGACATTGATATTTTTATCTAAAACATTGCTATTTGCATCTCCAACATCTTCATCTGAATAAGTGCAAACATTAGCACTTCCTCGTGTATTAACATTTGATATCCCTATAACCATTAACGAATAAATGGTTACAACTGCGACAATTTATAAATTTGAATAAAGGGCATTACCTGTTTTTTAACCATTACATGAATCAACGTTAAACATTTGTTTTAAAATTAAAATTGTTTTAAAACACATTTGTGGGTGCTATTATACACCTATTTTTCCACACCTGTTTGTCTTAAAAGCTTTATTATTCATTATATTTATATTTGTAATATAAAACGACACTAAGCAGTTAAAAACAGATTTATAACAAGGTTTTTTAGCATTCAAAAAGACTATTTTACAAAACGGGATATATAAGACAAAACATGAGGTGCCTATCTGCACCAAAGTTCACAAAAAACTGTAAAAAGTCACAAAAATTGTAAGTTAATTCCATTTCCACATTCTACTGAAATTTGAAAATCTAAATATTGGACTGAAAAAAAACAAAAACTTTTTGACTTAAAACTGGAAAAAGAAAATATCAGTTTCTATTGATGCTAAGGGTAGTTTTTCATTACATTCTTAAAATGAGTTAACTCAAACTTAAGGCGTTTTGCAAATGATCTCAATATATACTCACCTTAACTCATAATTATGAGTTAAGGTGAGTATATATTGAGAACTGTTAATTAGGTCATAAAAAATATAATGACCTAATGTCATAAAATTTTTTATGACAGATAACCAATATTTATATGCAGAAAAAAAAATCAAATAAAAAATAAAAAAAGTTATTAAGTAAAAAAAAAACAAACCAATTCCTTCAAAACTATTTTGTAATAGTGAATCGATTTTCTTATTTTGAATGCACCTTGTATCGTCATTATCCATAGCAAGAAGAACTTTTGTTACTTTTGTTAATTCGATAGTAGAATCCTCACGTCGATACCAATTTTGATGAACATCTTTAGTATGCCCCATGTGATTTGTGAGCCACAAAAGCTCAGCATTATTCATGTCTAACAACTGCAGAATGGTTGACAAGTACTTTCTAGTTGATGTAATAAGCTTTGGCTTCGATAAATTAAGCTTTTTTGTAAAAGATTGCAGCGCGTCCCAACCACAGGCAAACACATAACTATTTTTTGGAGAAATATTAGCATAATGCCTTGAGTTGATTAATAGTCGGATTGCACCAACAACTTCCTCAGTAAAAATAATCTGAACTAATGCTTTTACAGAAGAACCTAATTTAATAACATATACAGCATGAAAAAAGCATTTAAAATTTTATTTCTGAATACAAAAATTTCTCAATATCTAAACAGAAAAATATATAAAATAAGATGTCATTAAATTTTTAATAAGTGAATAAAAAACAAAATTCCATACATCTCCGGTTTTTTTTTTGCCTTCAATGTAATATAGTTTAAATCGTTCTGCAAGCTTTTTTTCTATTGGATCATCTAAAGCTTCTATGTCAGTTTAGCGTTTCCACCTGCCTTTTTCTACCATAGCCCAATCCTAATTTCAGGTACTCTAACTTGACTATTATAGCTAAAGTTTTTAATGAATATCCTATTCTTAAAACAAGATGAGGATTTCCAATTTTTCTTGGTCCACAATAATCGGCACAAACTTTCATAGAAGAAATAATGTTATCATAGCTTATCGCATTGACTAAATTTTTGGCAGATGCATCTTCTGCATTAAACTGTTTTCTGTATTGCAACAATAACTTAGCTAAAACTCGAAGTGCATAGTCTACATCATGGTAACGATCTCTTTCTTTTTTACCAACTTCAACTGCTCCATAGGTCAATAATAACTTATCATTGCGAATAACAAGGTGAAGGTTATCATGTTTCATAGTTGTAAGTATATACTCATGTACAATTTTAGCATTGTCGGTCAAACTGGATTGGCCTACTAATATTCGAGAAGCTTTTATATAACTTATTTCCTTGTTATCACTACCACGCAAAAAACACTTTGAAACATGTTCACAAAGTTTCCTTGCTCTGAAAAAACCATAACAATATTCACAAGGCAATAGCTCATCATCTTTGTTGACAGTACATTTTCTTACAGATGTTATTTTTTTAGAACTTTTAATGTTATTTATATTTACATTAAAATCACCTTTCCTCTCTATATAAGTCCACATATTTCTTCGCTCTTTACTTTTTTTTGGATAATGAAGGGCTTCTATAACAAGTTCATTATGCTTATGAATATGTTCTAAATGCCTTGGGATTTTTGAGAGAAGTTTTTCACAATAAAGTTTTTCACAATAAAGAAGTTTTTCACAATAAAGACAGTAGTGTTTTTTATGCCCATGTTTGTGTCTGGATTCGATAACTATAACAACAACTATAAACTTTATAAAAAATACTAAATCCTAAAAACTTATAAATTTAAATACAAAAACTATTACCATTGTTATTGTCAGATAAAATTTCATCATCAGAACTGTGTATCTTGCTTTCAATTAGCTGACTAATTTCTTCTTTGTTAATAGCTTAATGCTTAAAAATATTTTGTAATTAATATAATTTTGTATTTATTCTTATAATTCATTATAATATTTATAGTTCATTAAATTATTATCATTAATACATATATAATATTTATGATTCATTAAATTACTATCATTACCATTTTTTACATTATTTATAACTCTCTATATTTATAATTTCTATCATTATATTTAATAAAATTAGAATTTAAAATTGCCTAAAATAAAAGGAGCCTTGAATGGTATTTAGTTTAAAATTGCTCAAAATGTACGATTTAGCCGGAGTCTCAGTTACAGTGCACCATAAAAAAATATTTTTTAAAAAGAGATTAGATTAAAACAAAATCTAAGCTGGATCTTATGTGTTTAAAAAAAGATGAATGTATTTCCTTACAAATAAACATATTTAATTAGTTTTAAATAATACATTTAATTTTAATGAAATAGGTATATAAACATCATTACTGAAATTAAGTATGTTTTTTTCTAAAACTTGTTTTGACTTAATCTAATTAAAAAAAATAAAAAATTAATGCACCTTAACTGAGACTTTAAGAAAATCATACACTTTAAGCCAGTGTAAACTTGAAAATGGTATAAAAAGATTAAAAGAGAGTCTCTCACAAAAAATAATTTTTGATGCACCATAACTGAGACTCGGAGCAATAGGTAAATTATAGTTTTTAAGCCATTATAAACTTAATAAATGCCGAAACTCTTTTACTTCCAGTAAAAATATATAAACAAATGTTCCACTGTTAAAACGATAACATACATTTTATAAATTATTTTTAATTAAGTTTACTAACTTTAATTTTTATTTGTACCTTTATCGGTACTGCACGTGACACATTCTGAAACGACACAACATTTTTTATCTTTTTTTAAACACCGTTACTGAGACTTATAAATTTAATTCTTTTCAAGATTAAAATTTAATCTCTTAAAAATATCTTTTTGATGCACCGTTACTGAGACTTAGGGCGTTTGGAAATCATACTTTGTAAGCAATTGCAAAGTTAATAATGTTCAAGACTCCTTCACTTTCAAGAAAAATATTAAAAGAACATATGTTAAATTGTTTAAACGATAATATTTTTTATAAATGCGTTAAGAAAGAATTTACTTACATTAATTCTACATTGCACCTATAACGGCACTACACGTGGCTCACTCGAAAACATGCATTTGTAATCGCCAAATTTATACAGATAAAGATTCGAAACCATGTGCCGGTAAAATGAGCCGGGTAAAATACAAGAACCCAAATTTTAAAAAGTTCAATTGAGTGCTCGAACGCAAAAATGCAGATACATTTTGAAACTTAGTTTTGAAGAAAAACTTCGTGAAAATGATTTAAACAAACTTTATTATTTTCATTTTTTTAAAACTTACTACTACTAATTAAAAAGTAATAAAAATATAAAAACCTCCGTCATGCATTTTAGAGTTGAAGTTTTTCATATATTCAGAAATGAGGCAAACTTTTTCTTCTTCTTTTTTTTTCATTGCACCATTACTGAGACTAGGGGTCGTCCATAAATTACGTCACGCTATAAGGGGAGGGGGGTTGGTAGTTTTGTGACGGCTCATACAAAACTTGCTTCTTAAGTGTTACGATTTTGTGACGAGGGGGAGGAGGGAGGTCAAAATCTGTCAAAAAATGCCTGACGTAATTTATGGACGATCCCCTAAAGGAAAACTCAAATATTATAACCTATTGTAAACTTGATTACGGTCGAGACTCGTTTATTTTCAAGTAATAACTAAAAATATAAAATTCAATAATGTATTAAAAATTTAATATTTAATTTAAAGTAAATAAAATACGTTTATGTTTATTTGTCAGAAAACACTTGATTTTTTTTTAATCACTGTTACTGAGACGTATTAACTTCTTCTAGATTTTGTTTTGTTTTAATCTCTTAATTTTTTTTTTTTTTTGATGCACCGAAACTGAGACTCATATTAAATTAATATTTTTTGAACCAAGAAATTTATAATTTGGAAAATAGAAATATTCAATTAAATATTAAAATCATTTGATAATATAAAAGTATTCCAACTAATATTCGAACCATATTTTAAACAATAACATTCTGTTTTTTAATAACTAATAATTAAATTTACTTACATTAATTCTATATTGCACCTTTTTAATACTGCACGTGGCATACTCTGAATAATAACTAACTTGGAACAACAGAATATTTATGCAAAAATAATACTTTTAAACCATCTGCTAGTAAAAATTATTGATGAAAGCGCCGAGAAAGGTACTAAAGTTAATTCAACACGAAATTGAACAAAAATGTGCAATAGAGATTTTTTCTCTATTTTTATTCTTAAACATTATATCTTCTTTTTTACTATTTCTTTTTTTTTTTCCTAAATTTTCTACTTGATTTATTAACCATATATTACCATATACTATTGTTATGATCTGTAGGGGCTCTATGAAAAGATTTGGTTGGTATTTTGCCATCCATACCTTCTTTGAGCCCCTGACTGTTTATTACTTGTACATTTGTAATTATATTTTATTTTTGGTGAAAGGAAATTGTAATTTATATAAACAGCAAAATAAAATAAAATTAAAAAAAAAATAAAAAAAAAGATCTATTATAGAGCAGGGCTGACGACACCGGGAGAAAGAGCACAGGACCTCCCACCAAAGATCTTTTTTTTAGACGACTTTTTTAGAAATTGATGATTGTGCCCTTCCACTTCAAAACCCGTGACGTATGTCCTGTAGAGTACTGGAACGCAAAAAAACAAAGAGACATTTTAAAAATAAGTCTTGAAGAAAAAGCTCGTAAGGTACTTTATATAAATTTTTATATAAATTTTATATAAATGAATTTAATTATTAATTGTGCCCTTTTATATAAATGAATTTAAAAATAAAAATGAATGAAAATAAATAAATTTAAAAAAAAAAATTTATCTTACTAAACGAATTAAATAGAAATATTAATCAACAAACCTCCGTCATGTGCTTTAGTTTAGTTATAGATATTTTAGACTTTCAAACAAAAGGCAAATTTTTCTTTTTATAAATTAAACTATTAATTCATATAATTTTGTATTCATACTTAAACTTTTTTCTAATAATGTTTTATTATCTTATCGAAATATTTTTGAAAAAATAAAATTTTTATAAAATTGTTCTTATTAAAAAGTTTTTAAAAACTTTTGTATTTTATTCAACAATTATGGTTTTAAATAGAGTGAATCTTTGAGGCAATGATCTACTTGTATCCTTATAATGAATATCTCATTCTTCAATCGTTTTCGGAGTTTAACAGATCTTTTTATTTTTCTATAAATTTATTGACATCTCATTCTCAAGTAAAACTTCCTTGTAACAAGCTAAGAATAAATTTCTGAATCTTCAAACCCATATTACTTACTTTTTTTCTGTTAAAAAAATATAGAAATATATATTTTTTTCAAAACTATATTTGTATGAATAATACAAGCATTCAAGTTCTTTGATGCAAATTTATGAATTGCTGAGCATTAATCGTATATATTTTTTTTTATTTTAAAAAGATAACTTATTGTTGACTTTATTAAAGATAACTACGCTGGTAAAGGAAACTTTGTATGATAAAACTTGTCAACTACTGCACACTCGCGGAAAGTGTGGAGTTCTCCTCTATACCAATGTGTAGCTATCGCTCCTAGACACAAGTGTAGAATTACTTTGCACAATCTTGTGCAAATAACTCCACACTTCTATGCAGAGGTTGATTTAGAAAAAGGTAATTTCTACAAAAGTGTGCAAAATAACTTCACACTTGTGTCTAGGAGTGATAGCTACACAAAGGTGTGGAGGAAAACTCCACACTTTCCGCGAGAGTGTGGGAGTTTCTGAAGAAGTTTATTAAAACTAATCTGTTGCTTCTTGCTACATTTTAATTAGAATCTTAATTTAGTTTGCAAAATTACCTGTAAAGTATTATACAGATAAGTTAAGTAAACGGAACTTTACACGCAAAGAATTCTACATAAATATATATTTTTTTAAATCTTAAAGTTTTTGTTATCTTAAAAATGTTAGAAACAGAAGTACAACGCCAACCACCAAGAATTACAAAAACTGAGTTGCTTTTAAATATTCTTAAAAAAAAATTTCTAAAGAATAATTAATTAAAACAAACAAACAAACAAAAAATTAACCTTCCTCCCCTTTCCCATTGTAAACTTTATAATGGTTAAGATTCCTTTTTTTTAAAAAAAATATATATATAATAAACATAATAATTTTATTAAAAACTCGATATTTTATTTAAATTGAACTAAAAACGATTATGTTTATTTGTCAGTTATTACATGCTTCTTTTTCAAGCACCGTAACTGAGACTTGTTAACTTGATCTTTTATTTAAATTTTGTTTTATTTCAATCTCTCTAATGTATAATTTTTTGATGCACCGTAATTAAGACTCTGAGAGAAGTCAAGCTTTCTCAGCCGTTGTAAACTTAGAAACGATTTAGAAACCTTAATTTTCAAAAAAGTATAAAAATAAATAATTTAACCATGTATTAAAAGTTAAATATTTAATTTAAATTGAACTAAGAATGATTTTGCTTATTTGTCAGAAATTACATGCTTCTTTTTTTAAGCACCTTTACTGAGGCCTATTACATTAATCTTTTTTCTAGATTTCGTTTACGTAAACTTAATAACGGTTGAGAAACCTCAACATTGTAAACTTAATAACTAAAACTCAATAATAACGTCAGTAATATAGTAAACTTAAGTTTCAAAAATACATATAAAATGAATATTCTAACCATGTATTAAAAGTTCAATACTTAATTTAAATTGAATTAAAAACTTTTATGCTTATTCGTCACCTATTACACGCTTTATTTAATCCACCGTTACTGAGACTTATTACTTTATTCTTTTTTCTAGATTTTGATTTGTTTTAAACTCTTAAATGTATAAACTTTAGATGCACCGTAACTGAGACTCAGAGAAAAGTCAAACATTCTAAGCCATTGAAAACTTAATAAAGGTTTAGAAACCTTTAG